TGTCCAATTCTTATTTCCTCACCCACATAAATCTTAGGGTACACTTACTCTATAGGCTAGCATATTCTTACATATTAATAACAATCATACATATTAATGCCAATTATCTCATTCTTGAAACCATTACCTTTGCCTGAACCGTTACTTCCATGTTCTTATGATGTACCTTGTGGTTACTGGTATCCCAGAATTTTAGTAAACACATTCCGTTCCCCAAAGTCAAAAAGGGTAGGACATTTATCTATGCCAAAGGTTACATCCACTTATGCTAACTTGCTCTAGCTAATCATACAGGATACAAGCCTATAGGTTTTCTGCATTACAGCCAAATATAATGAAGTAACGTCTGCTGAAATTACTCAATACAAAAATATAAGCCAAAATAATAAGCCAATAGAGAAAAACAAATATAATATAGCAGGCTAGCCCCGTGGGTTACAAGTGAGCGTGTGAATTAGGGGTAACTCCTGCAAGCCACAGGCTTCACCCCATCCCTTCTTCATCCAGACTCCTTTATCCAGTGATTCTGCCCAGCACAAACTGATCTGGAATGAGATCTCCCAGCTCATGGAGCAATGGAAGGAGTTCCCTTAGAAAAAAGGTTCTCAGGATTCTACTCCACCTATTTGTTGTTCAGAAGTGCACCGGGGGAGTCAGAGCCATCCTCAACCTGAAAAGACTCACCAAGTGGATGAAGAAAACAAAATTCCAGATGGAGATCCTAACTTTGACGGTATCATCCCTATCCCAAAGGGAACCTCCTAACTTTAGTGAATCTGGCAGAGGCATATCTCCATATTCACATATGCCCATACCACTACAAGCTTCTGAGGTTTGCTTAACAGCACAGACCACTACCAGTACTGAACTCTCTCATTTGGTCTCTTGTGAGCCCCCACAGTCCTTACAGAGATACTAGTGGTAATGATAGCTAGAGTCAGGTTGCAGGGTTACCCCTTTCTGGATGATATCCTGATCAGAGCTCTGAGCCAGTCTGCAGTGCACACCACCATGATTAGGATTCTGGATCTCTTGCAAGTACACAACTTTGTAATAAACATCCAGAAAATTTCCTTGAGTCCCTTGACAAGGATATCTCACATACAAGTGGACATAGGCACCTCTATCCATCACTTGAAAGATTCCAGGAGATCCAGGATCTCTACAAGAGTGCATGAGGCTAACCACTGCAGCTTCTGGGCCTCCTAATGTGTGCATAAGGATCACTCCATGGGCAAGATCACACATCAGATGTCTCCAAGTTTTCCTGCTCCCCTGAGCGCATGAAAGACCAGGTGCTGGTCCCTAATCAGGTGCGCGACTCCCTAAAATGGTGGACAGTCCCAGGAAATGTCCACAACACACACACACCCCATATGCCTTCCAGACCCTCTGGTTCTCACAAATCAGGACCCCAAACTGCATAAGAAATTCAGAGTCCTGGGGAGAGGAACCACAGCATCAGTCTCCTAGAGTTGAGAGAGCCCTCTGGAGGTTCCAGAGCCATCTAGAGGGAAATCACATCCTCTTCAGTGAGACAACACAAAATGAGGCTCAGGTACCATTTGTTCAAAAATCCTTATTATCTTGAAAATACTAGCAATATTTAATTTAGCTTCATCCAGTGGGAAGTTTTAACTCCAGAAAAAGCATATTTTCTCAGTAACTGACAACTGTAAGAAAATAAAAATATTTCAGTGGAATTTTGAAAACAATTATTTTTTGAGATTTATATCATACAGTAGACAGACTATTTCTTTTTTTAAAAGCAGGACTGTAGGTTGTAGCACAGAGCTAAAGTGAAACATATTCACTTCCGTTGCTGCTTTTAATTGCATAATTTTGTCACTGCCACAAATCTTTCTCAAGTGTTTATGATTACAGTTGAGTAAACCATTGTACATTGGCCAAACCGGACAGTCTCTAAGCAAAAGAATTAATGGACACAAATCTGACATCAGGAATCATAACACTCAAAAACCAGTGGGAGAACACTTTAACCTGTCTGGTCATTCAATGACAGACCTGCGGGTGGCTATTTTACAACAGAAAAGCTTCGAAAACAGACTCCAACGAGAAACTGCTGAACTCAAATTGATATGCAAATTAGACACAATCAATTTAGGTTTGAATAAAGACTGGGAATGGCTGAGCCATTACAAACATTGAATCTATCTCCCCATGTAAGTACTCTCTCACTTTTTATCATCCTGTCTGTACTGGGCTATCTTGATTATCACTTCAAAAGTTTCTTTTCTCTTACTTAATTGGCCTCTCAGAGTTGGTAAGACAACTCCCACCTGTTCATGCTCTCTGTATGTGTATGTATATATATCTCAATATATGTTCCATTCTATGCATCCGAAGAAGTGGGATGTAGCCCACGAAAGCTTATGCTCAAATAAATTTGTTAGTCTCTAAGGTGCCACAAGTACTCCTGTTCCATTGCTTTTACTGTCTTTTTTTGGAACCAGAAAAATAATCAAAATAAGAAGCTAGACTGATGCTAGGGCTTCTGCATAAGCTAAAAACAAACAATGTCAAGTAATCCAGCCTTAACATTTGACTTGCTTTAAAATAGTTCCAATTCTGATGAGGAACATTTTCTAGACTCTGAAAATATTCTCAAGTTAACTATTGTTCTTAAGCAATGCGGGGTGGGAAAATGACTCTGAAATACTTTGCTCTTACAGATCAGACTAGCCAATAAATAGAGCACAGGTTAGTTGCATTAACATTAACCCCATTTCAAGAACAATTTTGAAAGTATTTGTATCCCTTTTTAAAGTATAATATTTTGACTTCTTCTGAAATTTGAATTATTGGTATCTTGTAAGAATTACCACTAAAATTCATATTAAGGAATGTGGCAGAAGAAAGCTATTTAAATAAAGCACAAAATATATTTCTAAAAACCAGTGGCTATATTAAGTAAGAAACTGATACTAATGATAATTAGTTTCAAAAAGTGTAGGTTAGTAGGGAGCCACTGGAACGGGACAATGACTGTTAAATGGGAAAAAGGTGTTCTGGTCACATTTCTTTAGAAACCTACATTCAGGGACATAGATAGGAAATGATCAGGTAAGAAATTTTCTATTTTGGTAGCAACTACCACAATTTCTTTATGTCTGGACTGCTCAGCTCCATTCTGCAGTGTCCAGAGGCGGTTCAAAGCTGTGACACAGCGTGTGCTGGCCGTGCCTCCTCCTCCCACTTGCCACCAGATGAGTCATTCCAAAGCTGTGTAAAACTCGTAGAAAGAGATTAACAACAAATGCCAACTCAGGCAACTGTCTGCATAGTAACTGTCCAAATAAAAAGCTGACCCTTTGGCTAACGAGCCATCCAGGGTGGGTAAATTTTGGGGGAGACTGCTAGCAGAAAGAAGCATGATATTGATGTTGAAAGTGTTCTTTAAATGAACGTTTAGTGCTAATAAATGCAATGTAATCACACCTTCATCATGACCAAAGGCCAGGTATGAAGTGAGCATAAAGCTAAATATCCCCTAGCGCGCTCTCTCTCTCTCTCTCTCTATATATATATAAATGTTTAGTATAGATATCAGAAGGAAACTCGATGCATGTGTATTTGGAGAGGACTCATTTCCACAGGAGATTAAGCCAGGTATGTTTATAACATATAGTAACCATACATTGTGGTATAGCTGAAAATAAATTACCTATGATGCATAGTGAATTAAACACCATTTTTACTTCAAACTACAGGGTATTTTCAAGTTTAGATGCAGTCTGTAAATATCTTCAAAGTACTTGTGTGTGTATTAAACTTACAATCCTTTTGATTTCCATGCTCTATTCTGTAAACAACCAATTCTTACATTTGTTTAAGCTTCACTGAAGCATAGTCCTTATCTGTTAAATCTAGGGTAATTACTGACTGATATATTTGATATGAATGTTACAACAACCGTAGGGAGGGCAGAATATGATAAAAGCAACTTTCAGAGTACTGAGTCAGAGGCACAGAGGTTAAAATGTACCAATGGAGCAGAATGAGACGACCAACAATTTAGCAGGTACAAGGTAATTTTTACACCACCCAACAGCTGTTTGGTGAGATTACTGAAATCTCATTGCTCCTAGAAAGGTGTCCGCAGAGAGTAGTATTTGTGCTGTAAAGAACCTAGTTACTTACTGTTCATATATTGCAGGGCAGAAGCTAAAGGGGGTTAAAAAGAAACTCTCTATAGGCAGGTTATTCCATAACTATATTCTGAAAGTTTTTCTGTATCTTCCTATGAGGCACGTGGGATGGCATGTCAAAAACAGGTAGTGGACTAGATGGAGCATTGGGGAGATCGTGTGCATCAATTCCTATGACCCACTGAGACTGACCTACCTCCTCAGTCTTTATAGGTAGTGCTTCCAGGTCAGTATTGAGATATATTGCCAGGATGGCATGAGATAGCTTGCAATTTTCATTAGATTGGAGATATTTTTTTCTAATCAAAACACCCAAATATTGTCAATGATAATACTTTTCATAAGCATAAAAAAGGCTACAGGTACTTCGGATATAGTAAGTATTACTGTTTTCTAGAACAAACACACACACCTGTTATAAAGTGTGTTCTGTGAACTACTGTTTATATACTTGTCATTAAATAGTGAGAATAGTGCAAAACAATACCCTTTCTCTATTTCATCAATAAGTACTTCCTCTAAGAATTAGTGCTACTTACTAAGTCCTTAATATATTTAGCAATTTCATTCATTAAATTATCTGTAAGGCAAGTAAGAAAAAGATGGCTACAAATTTGAAATCTTTTAAAATGTCCAAAATATATTACTGCCCACAGTGAAATGAAGTATACAAGTTGCAGGCTTTTATTCTAATCCAAGATCTCTGTGCCAATATTTTTTATTTGAAATAATCAATTTGATATAAAAATATACAATATTTTAAGACATACTTTGTTCAATGAATACAAAGTAAATGTTTACCCTTTTAATAAGTATCAATTATTTTAAAAAAAAAAAAAAAAAGTTATTCACATGATAAAATGAGGGTCATTTCTAGGTAAAATTTACATACTAAATTATATTTGCCACATAGTGCAAACAAATCATCACCCCAAATATATTACTCAGAACAGTGAAAAACCTCTACAAATTTAAGAGTCCCATTTTCATAATTTTACTTTTTCTTGCTTTTGAGAGAGTTGCTGTGAACTCTCACTCGCTGCTGAACAGAGGAAGCAATTTTCATAGATGCCTTCTTTACAAGGGACCTTTCCACAGCTCCAGGTTTCCATAGCAACAGCTGTGCATCCTCTCCACCAGTCAACAAAGAATCATCTGTCATGTTCCAGTAGAATGAGCGAACTGCAGCAGAATGCCCTCCATGAAGGGTGCCCACAAGGCTCAGTCCATCAATGCCACAGTTTATTAGGTGAATGTTTCCCATAGCTGTTCCACCAACAATAAACAATTTGTCTGCCTTTTCATGGTACAAGCCACCTATCAGATAGTTTAAGTTGCTATTTTCAATGAAGACTACTTCTCTGACATCCTGAATCTGCAACAATGCCATTGGTTCCTCAGTATCTATTTGAGTAAGATCCCACCAACAAAATCCTTCCGTATGTGTCATGCAATATACCTGTTTATAATCTTTCCCAGACCAACCAATAAAACTTACTGATGAATTTGAATTACAAGTTGCAATCAAAGCATCATCTTCATTTTCCTTGTTAATATCAAACACATTAACCAATCCATCAGTTGATCCAGACGCTACCAAATTGGGTTTCATAGGATGGAAACATATTTTAGTGATATCATCATTGTGAGTCTCTGAATAGGTTCCTAAGGGCTCTTTAGCTGCGCATGCATAGTTTGTATTACTTCTTGCATCCCAAAACACCATGAATGTGTCCTCTTCAACTTTTTCTGTCCCAGCGCAAACTATAAGATCACTGCAATTAATATCAAAGCTGATGAAAACATTTGAAGGATAACCACTGAATAATTGTATAGTTTCCTGAGTAGCTAAGCGAGTATCCCAACATTTTATTGTGCCATCACTGCATGCTGAAAACAACATATTCTCACTGGTATGAGCAAATCTGACTCCATTAAGTAACCCAGGATGGCCACTATACTCCCTTAGCAAGTGTAATGTTTCTCTACTATATACTTTAATTGACTTATTGGAACATGAAACAGCAACTAAGTGGTTACTTTCTGCTTGAACAGATTTTGAAACATCTATATCCAGTAAGTAAGTGGAGTCTTCAGTTAGTGCACAACGTTTTGCTATGCGCAGATTAGCAAACTGTTCTTCAATCTTCTCCATAGCAGTTGTCAGAAAGACTGTACCCAAAGCTGGTAGGAATCTGCAATACATCAAATCTCAAATATATTATTTGAATTAAACAAGTTTCAATTATGCAGAAATTCCAGCTCTTAAAAAACTCTGAAACAGCATCTTTCACAACAGATCTCATGCATAAAAGTAGGTTTAAATTATTCTTACACCACAACTACTGTCATTTGATATATACACAAGAGGATAAAGCAGAAGTAAGTATGAATACAGCAGCCTGCTCCATCAGGAAACCATTTTGGTAAAATGTGTTTTAAGATAAGTATTTTAACTAAGCTGATAAAATCTTAATTGTTCTCTTCGTGAATCATTTGCAAATTGTTCTAGCCAAATTTGCTTAATACTACTCATAAGTAGGAAAGCAATGTTCTTGACAAGTGGAAAGACACTCAAGTCAACACCCTAACCTGCTCAGCTATATGTAATATTACCTGAAATGCTACTTGGCAGTATGATGGTCAGTTAGGGTCAGATTTGCCTAAGGATGGCAAGATAGGTGCCTTGTGGGGTTAACAGAAAAGCTTAAACAGGGTAGATGCCTAACTCCCATTGGTACCTAGTTAATGGGAGTTAGGCACTTAACCTGCTTGGGTGCTTTCCTAAATCCCATGAGGCATCTATCTGCATTTTTACACACCTAAATATATTTGTACGTCTGGCCCTTAGCGCAAAGGGTAAAATAAAGAATTAAAATACAATGAACACTACAGTACATTTTTGTTTAAAGTAATCCAAGGTAGGATAAATTAGGAGTCATGGGATGAAACTGAGAAACAGAGAACAGCTTTTAGATTGTGGAACGGTCACTGAAGATCAATGGTGAATGACCTATATCAAACGATTTTTAAAAATAGACTGTATAAAGCACTTAACACACTGTAGGTAAAAACCTTACATTCAGATGCAATTTCTTCTGTGACATTACTGAACTGTCCTGTAAATCTAAGATATTTCTGTAAATGTACAGGTCCTAAAATGTGCGGATTACTCATAAAAAAAAAAATCATTTCCTAACATGAAAAGAATCCTATTCCAAAATATATGAGGTGCCCTACAGGAGATCTCTTTTTACCAAGCAGACCCTGTTTTCTACATTATAAAGCAGTAAGAAATTGTGCAACTATAGTAAAGGGTTGATGCCAATTCTGAATCAGAAAACTTAACACAGCCTTTAAATTGACATAATTTGCCATGATGCCCAGTTTCTGTCCGTTTACAGACTTTGGCCACTAAAAAGGAACAAAAGTTTTTGAAATTTCATTTGGTTATGAAAACTTAACAGAAGTCAGACCATGTGGCTGGCAAAGTTTACAGGATGGACTGAGCTTTTCTTTTTAAATAGAAATCAGCAATAATGTCAATAAAAATTTATCTAATTGAAAAACCATATACCAAGTTCTATGGGCCCAATTCTCCCTCCAGTGCCCTTCATCTTGTATAGATATTTATGCCATTGTAAATTGAGTGTAAAACATTATTACAATAACTCCCACAGACTTCACTGGCAGCTTTTGCAGACCCAAAAACCAGCAACTACTTGTGTTAACTGACCATTTTGCATGGGCGGGGGATTTGTGCAGAGGGAAGGGACTGACTGTCAGGAGGGAAGTGTGTGGATGGATTACAGGGGAGAGTAAGGGAGGGCTATATTACTTGTTTTAGATAAACCTTTTAAAATTTCCATGAAAAAAAAATTATCAGCTACCATGGGTTACCATAGAATGTTCTAGAATGTATCTGAATTTTTATATAGTTATGGGTTTGTCTGTAGTGCCTGGAAATAGATAGTTTGGGGGTAGGGAGGTGTTCATAATGTGTAAAATATTCATCTTATGATGAAACAATCAGGACCAAATTCACACCAAACATCAGTTTAAGTACACACTTACACTCACAAAAGCTTAATTCCCAAGTCACAAATAATCTCACAAAACTATTTGCTTCAGTAATATCCTGTGACAATAAGGTTCCCAGGTTAATATTCCACATCAAAGCAACCCTACAGAATACATCTGCAAGTGCATTTTTTGCTACAAAATGCAGACATCCTGTGGAAACTCTTTCTCCCCAGAGAGAGAAAGTACAATATTCTGTCTGGCACAACGGTGTGCACAAGTTTAATCATCACAGTTTACTTCTTCCAAACCTTTCTGGATAGGTCTTCCAGATTAGGCATGTGTTCAGCAATGCAATTACATAAACACCAGCCAGTTCATAAGCATTGTTCAGTAGACTGTAAGCTCTTCAGAGCAGGGACTGCAACTTACTCTGGGTTCATTAAGCTATACCTACCTAGGTAGTGCTTTTTCAAAAATAATTATGTCCTTACTTTTCCTTGATATACTAATAGGGTGAAAAATACTCACCAGATAGTTTTATGACAGTACTTCAAAGATGAGGCAATGGATAAAAAAGCAAAAGACACAAACTACAGTTTTGAGAGAGAAAAAAGTGGCTTAATTATTTAACAATGCTCAGATAAATCTGTGATCTGCTTTTTTTTTTAAATTATGGGGAAAACAGATAATTTTATTAGTATCAGAAAACAGAAATGGAACATGGCATATTTAATCAAGATCACTGAAGAATTACAACAGAAACTTATGTTTTAAAGGAGTATTTCCAAATTTGTGCCTGCCTGTGGACACAGGAGGGAAGTGATCTGCAGAACCTGGGGTAATCTCTGAACTGTGATGACTGCAGAAAATGTATATAGTGGGTCCCAGCCAGATTCTGTTTGTAAGAAAAAGGTAATTTTCCATGTTGACTTAAATTTCTACCTCAAAATAATCAAACCTTTTTAGACCAGAAAGGTCAAGTAAACTCAGACAGACATTCTCCTGACAAATGTCAGCCATTTGGAAAATAACCTGTGATTGTTTAATATTACTGACTTTGATAAAATACATTATTCCATGTGCAATTTCTGCAACACTCATCTTGTGTGTCAAAAATTTTACTAACACAGGGAAATGTCAAGTTATAGCCTACAGTGTGCACAGTCTGCAAAGTCCTACTTCAACTTAACATATTGGGGTTCTCTAGAAAACAGAATGGCCTGGGGCCTCTTCTAGTTGTTTACTCCAAATTTTACAGTTGTAGTTGCTCTGAAATACTGAGGGGAAATGTTTTCATGTTTTCCAGAGAGATGTAATTTATATGTACTGGAAGGTGAGGGGTATGGTCTTTCAATTCTATTTTCAATGAAATGGCTGAAAGGGGTTTATGCTGCACTTGACAGCTAGCATGTCTCACTAAAACCTGTTATACTAATATGCAACAAAATCTCTGCTCTGGTGAAAAATACTTTAGTCTATTATGAATTCCTGATTGAAGGTTATATAAACAATTCATGCTAACTTCAGGGTGTAGCTGCCAGCCCTTCCTTTTCAGAAGGGGAAGTCACTGTTGTATTTTGGTGGGAGAGTTTAAATAGGAGGAATAGGATGTGTGTTAAATTTATGAGATAAATAGGAAATAATGATCTTCCAAGCAAAATAGAAGATAACTAAGTGTTGGAATGATGCCATTTACAAGAATATATAAGGCAAACCATGCTATGTACTCAAGCATGTAGTCTGTGATGCAGTGTTACCACACCCTCCATCTGCCAAGCCTGCAACAACTTTGCCACTGTTTCAACAGGTCTACTAATGTTTTGAACTTAGATACAGTAAAGCACCTATGAGATTAGCAGCCAGGTGCTATCCTTGGAAAAGAGGGTGCACAGTTTGTAAATTAGGTTTAAAATTAACCTAAAGGAAGTTTCCAGCTGTTGTAATTTGTATTTTTTTTTTTATTATTTTATAAAGTGTTTTTTATTTGAATTGCAGAAATGTGGGGCTGGAAGGGACCTCAAGAGGTCATCTAGTCCATCCCCCTGCACTGAGGCAGGATGAAGGTATGTTAGCAACAAGAAGGTGGTCAGGGAAAGTGTGGGCCCCTTACTAAATGGGGGAGGCAACCTAATGACAGAGGATGTGGAAAAAGGTAATGTACTCAATGCTTTTTTTGGCCTCTGTCTTCACGAACAAGGTCAGCTCCCAGACTACTGCACTCGGCAGCACAGTATGGGGAGGAGGTGACCAGCCCTTTGTAGAGAAAGAAGTGGTTCAGGACTATTTAGAAAAGCTGGACGAGCACAAGTCCATGGGGCCGGATGAACTGCATCCGAGGGTGCTAAAGGACTTGGCAGATATGATTGCAGAGCCATTGGCCATTATCTTTGAAAACTCATGGTGATCGGGGGAGGTCCCGGATGACTGGAAAAAGGCTAATGTAGTGCCCATCTTTAAAAAAGGGAAGGAGGAGGAGGATCTGGGGAACTACAGGCCAGTCAGCCTGGAAAAATCATGGAGCAGGTCCTCAAGGAATCAATTTTGAAACAACAGTCAGCATGGATTCACCAAGGGCAAGTCATGCCTGACTAACCTAATTGCCTTCTATGAGGAGATAACTGGCTCTGTGGATGAGGGGAAAGCAGTGGATGTGTTATTCCTTGACTTTAGCAAAGCTTGTGATACAGTCTCCCACAGTATTCGTGCCAGCAAGTTAAAGAAGTATGGGCTGGATGAATGGACTATAAGGTGGATAGAAAGCTGGCTAGATCGTCAGGCTCAACCGGTAGTGATCAATGGCTCCATGTCTAGTTGGCAGCCGGTATCAAGCGGAGTGCCCCAAAGGTCGGTCCTGGGGCCGGTTTTGTTCAATATCTTCATTAATGATCTGGAGGATGGCATGGATTGCACACTCAGCAAGTTTGCAGATGACACTAAACTGGGAGGAGTGGTAGATACGCTGGCGGGTAGGGATAGGATACAGAGGGACCTAGACAAATTAGAGGATTGAGCCAAAAGAAATCTGATGAGGTTCAACAAGGACAAGTGAAGAGTTATGCACTTAGGACTGAAGAATCCCATGCACTGCTACAGACTAGCGACCGAGTGGCTAGGCAGCAGTTCTGCAGAATAGGACCTAGGGGTTACAGTGGACGAGAAGCTGGATATTAGT